AGATGCATCTCCTGGGAGCTCCGTTTTTGCATCGGCGGTGGGAGATGGTCGGTGGAAGTGTGGCCTGATTTGGCACGGTTCTGATTTCCACTTCACTCTGCTTAGCTCGGCTGAGTCGGGCTTCATCCCAGGCTGAATCTTGCTTAATCCGGTTTGAATCGGGCTCAATAACCCTCGTTTGTTATTACCGAGCCCTCCCAAGAGTACCATTTGACGTTGTTCCCATCCCCTCTCCTCCGCCTCCTCCGCTCGGCCAGCGCTATTGCGACAGGCGAAGCCGGAGTCTTCAAGTGGGCTCCAAGGTTTCATGATCTCTCGGGAAGGCAATGTTCGAGCATCTGCCACTCCCGACTCCAGCCTCTCGCTACTGGTGGCCAATGTGCCGTCTCTGTCTGCATGTCATTCCCCACCCCGCCCCCTGATTGTGTACGTCCTTGTATCGCTTCTTCGCTCTCCCTCGAGCTACCTGCATCTCAGGAGGACGAGCACCTCAAGCGCGTGTATGACTGCCTCGCCTCGTCCATAGGCCAGCAGTGTGTGGAGCGCGGCATGTACGGTTCTCCCGCCCTCGAGTCGTTCATTTTGCGTATCGTTTCCCGTCGTCCCCGTACCCTTAGCCTGCTCTCACGTCTTCTGTCTCTCTCTCTCTCTCTCTCTCTCTCTTTCTCTCTCACTCGCTCTCTCGTTCCAGGCCCGCTCACTTTCCGCACTCGTGCGGCGCTCCCGCCCCATCGTTCTGGCCCGTTCGCCAGGCTTGCAGTGCCTCCTCCCATTCCTCATGATCAATGTCTTGAACACGATCTTTGACTTGTTCAGCTTGTACAAGATGAGGACAACGGATTGTTTTTCGCCCTAGGGTCGCCTGGCTGCCACCAGGCTGTTTCAGTCAGTCGCCAATGCAAGTCTTCTGGAGTCTGTGTAGTATCAGTCCTGGGACGGGCTAAAGTGTTGGCATGCTATTTGGTTGAAGGTATTGCTCTTTTAATTTTGATGGTAGCCAGCGTGGACCCCAAGCTGCTTGTTTCTAGCAGTCTGGGTTGTGCAATCAATGTGGATCAGTGTATGTTGTACAATATGTGGTGCAACCTAGTCGTCATCTCCACTGCTGGCGCAACCATCCCACCCTCCCACCCGCAAGTTGCTTTGCAAAACTCATGATGCGGGGGACGGCCGCGCCACCGATGACGAAATCGATGATTACATCCTCACTGCCGATGCTCGTCGCCGTGAGTCGGCGACGAAGGTGAGCACAACGACGACATTCGGACGTACGCGATGACAAAATGACGCCGGCAACGTCTGCGACAATGACGAGAATGGCACCAGCGACGGCGATGTTCAAGAGGGCGACGGCACGAACGCTACCGGCGCCAATGATGGCAAACACGCTGACGATGCTGATGTACATTTGTTTATGAGGCAGGTGATCGCGGTGATGCTGGAAAGGTTGAAAAGGAAACCCGCGCGGAAGGAATTTCAACAAATCCGTCAGACTGATCATGCGCGCGTTGGCGCGCGCATGTGGCCCGCGTTGTGATTTTGCGCAAGGGATTCGCGCCCTCGGCGCATGACAGGAGTATCGCGGGTGCACCGCGCTGGATTTGGCTACAGGCAAAAAGACCTCATGGTTTTTGCACGATTTTAGCTAGAGCGCGCGGACAGGAAGTTTGCAAACACAACGTTGCACAACCCTTGGGCGGTTTCGGTTTTTATGCTGAAATGCTTGCGCGCGCAGCGTTTCGCACGAGTTTGACTTGGGCGCGCGCGGAACGGCTTCCTTTACAACGGATTATGGAAATGTGCGTTCTAAGGATGGATAAGCGCGCGCGAATCGTACGTTTTGCAGAGGATGTCGGGGGGGGGGGGGGGGGGGCGATGCCGTTCTGGCTGGGATCGCGTTAGTTCACAGGTAGGAAGGACGAGTGCGTAGAATAAATACGAAACCGCAATACCCCGAGGGGGGTCGTCAACTCCGGGAGGGGCGTACAATCAATCGCTTGCGCAACTTGAGGTTGCCCACTCCACTGCGCGCGCAAACATCCCACCCACCCACCCGCAATTTGGTTCGCAAACCCCATGCGGTAGTAGTAATGGTAGTAGTAGTAGTAGTAGTAGTAGTAGTAGTAGTAGTAGTAGTAGTAGTAGTAGTAGTAGTAGTAGTAGTAGTAGTAGTAGTAGTAGTAGTAGTAGTAGTAGTAGTAGTAGTAGTAGTAGGAGTAGTAGTAGTAGTAGTAGTAGTAGTAGTAGTAGTAGTAGTAGTAGTAGTCGTAGTCGTAGTCGTAGTCGTAGTAGGTATAGTAGTAGGTAGTAGTAGTAGTAGTAGTAGTAGTAGTAGTAGTAGTAGTAGTAGTATTGGTAGTGTAGTAGTAGTAGTTAGTAGTAGTAGTAGTAGTAGTAGTAGTAGTAGTAGTAGTGGTAGTCGTAGTCGTAGTCGTAGTAGTAGTAGTCGTAGTAGTCGTAGTAGTCGTGGTAGTCGTAGTAGTAGTCGTAGTCGTAGTAGTCGTAGTAGTCGTAGTAGTAGTAGTAGTAGTAGTAGTAGTAGTAGTGGTAGTGCTAGTAGTGGTCGTAGTAATGGTAGTAGGAGTAGTAGTAGTAGTGGTACTAGTAGTATTAGTGGTAGCAGTACTAATACTAGTCGTCGTCGTCGTAGTAGTAGTAGTAGTGGTAGTAGTAGTAGTAGTAGTAGTAGTAGTAGTAGTAGTAGTAGTGCTGGTAGTAGTAGTAGTACTAGTGGTGGTCGTGGTAGTAGTCGTAGTAGTAATAGTTGTAGTGGTAGTAGTAGTACTAGTAGTAGTAGTAGTAGTAGTAGTAGTAGTAGTAGTTGCTGTTGTTGTTGTCGTAGTAGTAGTAGTAGTAGTAGTAGTAGTAGTAGTAGTAGTAGTAGTAGTAGAAGTCGCACAAGCAGTAGAAGTATTCGTAGTAGTGGTGGTACCAGTAGTAGTAGTAGTAGTAGTAGTAGTAGTAGTAGTCGTAGTAGTCGTAGTAGTCGTAGTAGTCGTAGTAGTAGTAGTAGTATTAGTAGTAGTAGTAGTAGTAGAAGTAGTAGAAGTAGTAGTAGTAGTAGTAGTAGTAGTAGTGGTAGTAGTAGTAGTTCAATTTTAGCAGTAGCAGTAGTAGTATTGTTGTTGTTGCCGTATTTTCGTCGTCGTAGTAATAGTAGGAGTAGTAGTAGTAGTGACAGTAGTAGTAGTAGTAATGGTGGTAGTAGTACTACTACTAGTAGTGGGTGTAGTAGCAGTAGTAGGGTGGACGTAGTAGCAGTGTTGGTCGTACCCGTAGTCTTGGTAGTGGTCGTGGTAATAGTAGTAGTAGTAGTAGTAGTAGTTGTGTAGTAGTAGTAGTGGTAGTAGTAGCAGTAGTAGTAGCAGTAGTAGTAGGGGTAGTTGTAGTAGTAGTAGTAGTAGTAGTAGTCGTCGTAGTAGTCGTAGTGGTAGTAGTAGTAGTAGTAGTAGTAGTAGTAGTAGCAGTAGTACTAGTAAGTAGTAGTAGTAGTAGTAGTAGTAGTAGTAGTAGTAGTAGTAGTAGTAGTAGTAGTAGTAGTAGTAGTAGTAGTAGTAGTAGTAGTAGTAGTAGTAGTAGTAGTAGTAGTAGTAGTAGTAGTAGTAGTAGTAGTAGTAGTAGTAGTAGTAGTAGTAGTAGTAGTAGTAGTAGTAGTAGTAGTAGTAGTAGTAGTAGTAGTAGTAGTAGTAGTAGTAGTAGTAGTAGTAGTAGTAGTAGTAGTAGTAACATTCGGAGTAGTAGTCCTAGTCGTAGTCGTCGTAGCTGCATAAGTAGGAGTCGTAGTAGGACTATTAGAAGTAGTAGTGTCAGGAGTGGCTGTAACACCTCTCGTAGCTGAAGAACGAGCACCTGTAGTAGACATCGTATCCGCATGCTGGCCGTAACATGTGGCTACTGGCCGTAACCGAACAGTCACTGGAACACTCTTGGTATTCAAGTTTTTGTGAGCATGCCATATCGGGCAGGCCTGGGGCCCAGCGCCATGTTCTCAACCTCGTTGCATCCGTAGAAGCTCTGGCTCCACTGGCGAGCTTTCAGTTCGCGCGATGGCGTCGGTTCCAGCAAAGCAGCGCAAGCGCGATTCAACCAGGAATCTTCGGACCCTCGCGCGCGCGGTCGGGGTCGAAACTGGCAGTCGCAAGGTCCGCGACCGACTTCGACGCCCTGCGAAAGAAGAGTGCGTCGCGCAGAGAGCGAATACTCCTGACAGGCGGCAAAGACTGGACGATGCCGTCGCGATGTATCGGGGGAGGCGTTTGGGGCAGCCGCGGCCGAGGCCTCCGGCGCCGGCGTGGGCCCCGAGGCCGCGGCCGCGGGCCTGGTCGACGGCGACGACGGCCAAGACGGCGAAGACGGGGGCTTCCGCCTGACGGCTTTGTCGTGCCTTTCCACGTGGAAAACATTGTTTTCGGCCAGGTGCCCTTTGACCAGCTCTGGGAGGATCTCCTGGCGCGGGCGCGCCCCCTCACGTTCGCGGAACTGTGGGCGGCAACGGCGGAGATGCGATTGAAGTCCAAGGGCGCACGGCGCCTGCATCTTCGTGTTGTTCTGCAGTTCGCGGCAGAGCGCCGAATGCGCCGCCCGCGCGGGGGCGGGGGCCCAACGTCGGGCGGGCGCGGATCCGCGGGGACTTATAGCGGGGCATGGAAACCTGGCGCGATCAGAGTGGCCATAAAGCGCTCCATATTATGGCAGGACGAACCCGCGAGGGGGAAGTGGATCGACGACCTGTGGTCGCAGCGTTGATTTGCCCGCCACGGATGCCTCGAACGGGCCGCCAAAGTCCGAGTTGGCTACGTCAACCGCCGCGCGCAGGCAGCGGCGCTGATAGCGCGGGAGCTCCAGGCCCTTCTGTTGGATCGCAGGCGGGCGATTGGAGGAGCTGGCAACCTTGCAGCCTTAGCGGGCGCTGCGCTTGCGCCTGGAACCATGGTGTAATTTCCCTGCGTTGCGCGGCGCATCGAAGACCGGTCGCGGACGCAGCTTAGTTTACCAGGGATCGTGGCCATGGGAGCGCAGACGCAGCGTAGTTTACGCGGGATCGTGGCCCGCTGACAGCGGTCGCAGGGTGATTTACCAGGGATCGTAGCCCTGGGAGCGCGGACGCAGCGTAATTTGGGCTGGATCGTGGCCTTGGGAGCGCGGACGCAGCGTAATTCACAACGGATCCTGGCCCTGGCGGACGCACCGCAATTCACTCTGGAGCGCGCGGCCTCGGGAGCGCGGCCGCGGAGCAATTCGCGAGGGAGCGCGGCCCATGGATAGCGGACGCAGCGCAATTTACGAGAGACCGTGGCCCTGGGAGCGCGGACGCAGCGTCATTGAAATGAATCGTGGATTCGGGAGCGCCCATTGTATTTTCAAATGGATCGTGGCTTTGGGCGGGCTGGCACAGCGTAGTTTACTCGGGAACGTGGCCCTGGGAGCGCGGGCGCAGTGGAACTCACTATGGAGCGCGGCTTTGAGAACGCGGACGCAGCGTAGTGTACATGGGATCGTGGCCCAGGGAGAGCGGACGCAGCATATTTTATCAGGGATCGTGACCTTGGGAGCGCGGGCGCAGCGTCATTTTCGATGGATCGTGGCCTTGGGAGCGCGGGCGCATAGTATTTTAACCGGGATTTGGGCCCTGGGTCAGGGACGTCCCGCGGCACGTTCCCTGACCCGTTCCCTGGCTCGTTCCGTGGCGCGTCGTTTGGCACGTTCCCTGGCACGTTCCATGGCGCGTCCCGTGGCGACTCCTCCTTTCGCGTCGCGTGGCGTTTCCTTCGGCACGTCCCGTGACACGTCCATTGGCACGTTCCGTGGCGCGTCCCGTTGGCACGTCCCGCGGTACGTCCCCATGGTACGTCCCCTGGCACGTGCCCTGGCGCGTCCTGCGGGACGTTCGCGGCGCGTCCCCCTGTCATGTCCCCCTATCAAATAGCTTTTAGGGCAGCTACTACGTGCTCAGGAAGATCGAACTTGCGTTTCAGATCAGTTCGGTCAGGGCTCGGATGCAAAGGAGGACTCGGTACACAACGCTGTAGAGCACAATCGCGGCATGGCGCATCGCAATTCAGCACCGCGCAGCACAGCACAGCCCTTGGCACAGTACATTTAGCCTTGCAACCTGGAACGTTCCCTGGCACGTTCTATGGCGCCTCCCGTGGCGAGTCCCCCTGGCACGCCGCGCGGCGCGTCCCCTGGCGCGTCCCGTGCCCCGTCCACTGGCACGTTCCGTAGCGCGTCATTTTGGCACGTCCCGCGGTGCGTCCCTATGGCACGTGCCCTGGCACGACCTGTGTCGCGCCCCTTGGAACGTTCGGCGGCGCGTCTCTTGGCGCGCCCCCCTTTTCAATTAGCTGTGTGGCAGCTACTACGTGCTCAGGCAGTTCGAGCTTAAGATCCACATCATTTCGGTACACAACGCTATAGATCATTATCGCGGCACGGCACATCGCAATTCAGCACGGCGCAGCACAGCACAGCCTTTGGCACGGTACGTATACGTCGATACACTCAGCATTGCAACTGCCTGTCGCCCAACCAGGTGTCTCGAAAACGCTGCCATGCCTTACGTTTCAATACTTTTTTGTTTTTCTGGGTTCCGTGCTCCGATTATGTTCAACCATCATTCACCCACCCACCGACCCGCAACTCGCACAATGCCGCACCACCTGCCCTCGTCACCCTCGCCCCCACTTGCTCCTGGGGGGGGGTTCTGCCCCAGGTCGCGCCAACAGAACAAGCGTAGCGTCCCGAGCCCCAGTCTCCAGCTCCTCCCTCCGACATCCTCTTGCACCTTCCGCCCCATCGGGCCGCTCCCGTCCGCTCGTCCCTTCTCGATCATTCATCTGGCTGCCCCTTGCCCAGCCAGCTGGACAAAAAATGCCGCCTTCTACCCAGCATTATGCCATACGGCTTCTTCCTTCTCGCGTCCGTGGTTGGAAGGGGGAGACTGGGAATGGCGTCGAATGTGCAGAGGACTGTGAAGGATCAGGGTCCGGTGACGTTCTGGTCTCCCAGAATGAGTGGAGCGATGTGGCCATGGGTATCTGGGACCGTGTCTGCATCAGATTGTCTTGCATGGCGCAGGAGCCCTCCATTGTCGTGGAAGTGCGCGCATCGTTCGAAGATAGCGCGAAGGGTGTGTGTAAATAAGATTCGTGTATATATATATATGTAAATATACAAACATATAAACACATGTACATATATATATATATACATACATAGACATATGTATGTACATATGTGTATTTATATATGCAGAGTCTGCATCAACGGTCTTCGCCCGAGGGTGGTGCTGTGCTCGCTGCAGGGAGCTGGAGTGATTTGAAGCCCTCGGCTGGGTAGCCTTGTCACATTCCACCGTGCTGGAGTGGTTCGAAGCTCTCGGCTTGGCAGCCTTGCCGCATCCCACTCATGCCGTCCCTACCTCGACAGAAGTGGCCCTATCCGTTGAGGTTCAAGACCTCATCGCCGATTGGGTATCAAGGACACATTGCATTGTATTAGCTTGTTCAATCAGGGCAACTGCTTACATTCCCAATGTTTCTCGCTCAAGACGTCCCATGACCCCAACAATGGCCCCGAACGTCGCCGCGCCTGTTTCGCACCATGTTCGTCTTTAGAGTGCTGCCTCCCCCTCTGGTGCCCCTCCTGCCGCGGGGCGGGCACGCTTCACGACGTGTCGCGGGGGCTTCTTGGGGATCTGCTATGCTCCTGCTCGCGAGAACAGAATGGCACGTGTGCGAAGCAACACCGCCAATGGCACGCCGTCCTGCGGCTCCCCTGCCTCCCTGCTCCGAGCGCACACCGCGTGAGGCGGCGGAGTGCCTGGGGGATCCGTCCCACGAGTGGCCCCTCCTGCCGCGGGGCGGGCACGCTTCGACGACGCCAGTGGGCGTGGCGGGAGGTGAGGAGGGGGGGAGGAGGAGGAGGAGGAGGAGGAGGAGGAGGAGGAGGAGGAGGAGGAGGAGGAGGAGGAGGAGGAGGAGGAGGAGGAGGAGGAGGAGGAGGGAGGAGGAGGAGGAGAGGAGGAGGAGGAGGAGGAGGAGAGGGAGGAGGGAGGGAGGGAGGGAGGGAGGGGGAGGGAGGAGGGGGAGGGAGGGAGGGAGGGAGGGAGGGAGGGAGGGAGGGAGGAGGGAGGGAGGAGGGAGGGAGGGAGGGAGGGAGGGAGGGAGGGAGGGAGGGAGGGGGGAGGGAGGGAGGGAGGGAGGGAGGGAGGAGGGAGGAGGGCGCGGCGGGAGGTGGCCGAGGGGGGCGCCGCGTATTTCGCCTACAGCGCGTTCAAGGCCCGTGGGCGGGGCCCGCCGGCCGGCATGGGGGAGGGCGAGGGAGGGGCAGGCGAGGCCCGGGCGGGCCTCGGCCGGGGCCGGTCGATCCCCTCGTCGCCTCCCCTGCCCCGTCCAGGACTCCTCCAGGGCCTCCCCTCCCCCACAGTCTCTCCACTCGTCTCCTCCTCCCCTGCCCCCATCCTCTCCCCGCATCTGCTCCCCTTCGCGCCTCTTCTCCCCCTCCCCTCCCCTTCATCCCCGCCCCCCCGTCCCTCATCTCCTCCCCTGCCCCCTCCTGTCCCCCCGTCTCCTCCCCTTCCTTTAACCTCTCCCCCTCCCTCATCTCATCCCCTCTCCGGTCCCCATCCAGGGCTCCTCCATCTCCCCTCCCCTCCCCTCCCCATCCCCAGCTGGCTCCATTCGGGACTCATCACTGGAGCCACGTCCTCGGGAGTCCGTCTTTTGAGTGCACTCGCGCGCGCTAATCGATGAGAAAGCGCCGATGTAGCGTCGGTCAGCGTCCGAGTTACCTTCGACTAGCGTTGATCAACCTCGATTCGCGTCGATTCGCAGAAGCCAGCAAGATGGCGCGGGCGGCTCCCACGAGTTGCTACGGAAGAGAGGGGGCGAGATGAAGGAGGGGTTCGGATGTTATAGTAAGTTTGGTTTGCGGTTTGCACGGGACGCTGTTGGAACATGCTTGGATGGCACAGCTTTGTTAGAATACATCCGTTGTATTCCCTGAGAACATGACGTTTGTTACAAGAACATCGTTTAGTCTAAGAATATTTCGTGGCAGGCCTGTGGGGATGCCATCCCCTGGCATGTCAATGTGCGGCGCGGCACAGCGCAGAGAAGCACAACACAGCCCCTGGTACAGTAGCATCACCAGTGATACCTGGCACGTTCCCTGGCGCCTGCCCTGGGCACAACGCGCGGCGCGTCCCCTGGCACGTCCCCTGGCACCTTTCCTGGCACGTTCGGTAGCGCGTCCCCCTGGTGCGTCCCGTGGAGCGTCCCCCTGGCGCATCACGCGGCGAGTTGGCACGTCCCCTGGCGCGTCCCCTGGCACGACACTGTGCGGCGCGGCACAGCGCAGAGCAGGACAACATGGCCCCTGGCACAGAGTCATCACCATTGATATCTTCAGCATTGCCACTGCCTATCACCCGTTTGATGTGCTTGGAATCGTTTCCATTCTTCGCAGTTCTAAATCTCTTCCCGGGTTCGTGGGCCGATCATGTCTCTTTGGCTGCAACTGGGAGGGCGTCGCCTGCTTTGCTGAGCGCGGTAGAAACTTGGGTAGCGGGTGAGTGTGGTGAATCGAATAATCGGAAAAAGCGCGGAGGGAAAGCTTGAGCCAAATATCGGGACGATAGGGTTTCAACATGACAAGGAGTGCCAGCATATTCCACTGGGAGGCAGGAAAGGTCGGAGGGGGTGGAAGCGTTGCGGGGGCACGGGAGGACAGGAGGCAACGTCGGAAAGGCTGGGGCCCTCGAGGAATCAGCGGCTGACGACGGGCGCAAGGGGGATGCCAGATGTCGGTGGTGGTCGCGAGGGAAGAGAGACGATGACCATGACCAACATGCTCCGGGACTTCGGCGGCGCCAATCTTGGGCATGGTTCATGCAGGCCGCCGTTGATTCGCTTGGACGATCCACAAAGTTACCATGACCAATGCGGGCGATGCCTCAGCTCAGCACCGACGTTCCCGCGTTCGGTCTTGGTCATGGTCATCGTTTCCGTTCTCTCCAGGTTCGGGTAAACGCAAGACCCCAGTAAGCCGGAACTCGGGTTTGCCGACGTTTTTTTGACGAGAGCGTCCTGGATTTTGACGGTCCAGTTTTCGTGGGATGTCTGCAGCGGGAGCTCGCGTCAAATTTCAGATTGGGCCTCGTCATTTTTATGATGGCCCCGTCGGGCCAACCCGAGTTCCCCCGTACCCGAGCCTTACGTTTTTCCAACAGGTGGGGGTGGGGGATCGGGAACAGCGCGGCGGGAGGCGACCGAAGCATGGAGCCGACACCAGCGGAGCTCCGGTGTGGTCGACCCCCCTCGCAGGTCTGCAGAGACATGCAGCCGAGCCAGGGCACGGAGATGGAGGCGAGCCCCCGGCGCCTCGCGCTGCTCCGGGAGATATCGCCTTGCTTGAAGACACAGTTCTCCCGGGTGTGCTGACAGGGAGTTGGGCCCATGTAGATGTCGGGGGCGGCAAAGAGGGGGGTGATGACTAGGGGAGGTGCATATCATGGCGGGGGCCATGATATCTCCCCAGATTTCATGGCGCCTCTTCTTATTTCATTACGTCCCTGGCCCCCCCGCTGGGCCGCGCACGTGCCGCCGGTCATGATTTGCACCCCCCCCTCTTGGACACCCCCCTCTTGGCCGCTCCCGAGTAGATGGACAGTCTTCTGTTTTGATGTGCTGACAGGGCTTCTGGCGCTGGTTAGCTCAACACTGGGTTAGCAAGTTATGAGCAGGCGTTGTCTAGAGCGAATGGCGCGAGTCAAGGGCACACTGCCCTTTCGGCGTATAGTTTCAGTCATGGCGCTTGCGGCGTATCTTTCCCCGGAAAGGGCTTAGGCCCAGGGTTCTCCATTAGTGCTGGGCCTCGACTTGATTATGGCCGGCGATACTGAATAACGAGGTCGTGTAGGGCAGGCGAATTAAAAGTTGAGGATGCCCTTCGCGAAACGTCGATGTTTTACATCCCGATCGATAAATCTCATGGTGAAGTAAACAGCTTCGGTTGTTGCGGGTCTCTCGAGCGAAACGCTTGTTTTTCAGATTGTGGTGAGGATGTCTCGATGCTTTGTCTTATAGATGATTCCTCTCTTGGGGGCCAGGCTTCAGAGGACTTCTCGGGTGAAAAGCTTGTTTTCAAGGGCCCAGGTCTTGAGGATGCCTCGAAGGAGACGCTTGGTTTTACGAGTCCAGGCTGCCCAGGCAGATGTCTAGCATGAGGATGTGTTCAGAACGTCCCGAGCGAGACGCTTGTTTTCACGCGTCCAGATCGCCCATGCAGATGTCTAGCATGAGGATATGTTGAAGATCTCTCGAGAGAGAGACGCTTGTTTTCACGTGTCCAGGTCGCCCAGGCGGATGTCTAACATGAAGGTGTGTGCAGCATGTCTCGAGCTAGACGCTTGATTTCACGTCGATGTCGCCCAGGCGGACGTCTAGCATGAGGGGGTATTTGAGGATGTGTTGAGCGAGACGCTCGTTTTCACGTGCTCTAGTCGCCCGGGCGTATGCCTAACACGAAGATGCTTTGCGGATGCCGCGAGCGAGCTGCTTGTTTTCCCGTGTCCCCAGGTCGCCCAGGCGGATGCCTAGCACGACCATGTGCTCAGCGAAACGCTTGTTTTCACGTGTACACATCTTACCAGCCTGGAACATATCCCTATCCCTGTGCTGGGCACCTCCTCATCACGATGCCAATCTTAGGGAGTCCCTGAGATTGTCATCGCCTTTTGGCGTGTCAGGCTTAGGGAAAGGGATGCGTTCGATGCTGCTGCTCGCGCGCGTAAGCTGCTCGCGCGTAAGGCGCCCTCGCCTCCGTTGTGGCGTGCCGCGCCGGCGGGCCGCGCAGGCCGCGGCGCACGGCCGCGGCGCCGCCTCGCGCCAGACCCGTCTTGGGATCGCCGCCCACGTGCGCGTCGGCCGGCCCCCCCCCGGGCGACGCGCGCCCTCGAAACTCTTACGGTATCCGTACGGACTTCGCCCCTTGCCGCCAGCCCTCTCTCTGTCATAATATATATATATATATATACACACATATAAAGCTATACAAATACATACTTTTGAAAAGAGAGAGAGAGAGGAAAAGAGAAAGAACAACAACAAAAGAAAGAGGCAGAGAGAGAGAGAGTCGCGTTTGTGCGTCTCGGCGCTGCTTTGGCGCAGCTGGGAACAGCATGCGGGGGCGGATGGGGATCCTCCGCGCACTCTTGTATATGTGTCGGGGCGTCGTGGGGAGCCCTAAGAGGGCCTCTTGGAGGCGGGTTCGGCGCCTCTTGGGGGCCTGTTTGGGCCTCGTGAAGTATCTTTTGGGCATCTTGGAGGCCTCTTGGGCTCGTCTTGGGCGCCTCTTGGGGCCTCTTGGGGCCTCTCTCGGGGCACACATATCGAATGTTCGGTTCGTGGTCCCCTGCTTCGGCCCCTCTTGGGGCAGTCTTGGGACCCACTTGCGTCGTCTCGAGCGCTTCTGTGGTCATCTTGGAGCCCTCTTGGACCGTCTTGGCGCCCTCTTGGAGGCGTCTTGGGCTGCCTTGGGAGGGTGCTTTGAGCTTCTTGAGCCGTCTTGGAGCGTCGGAAAGCCGAAAATACGAGAGGGCCACAATCCTTCAAACAACCTTGGGCCCTAGGGCCGTCTTGAAACCATCTTCGTGCGCCTTGGAGCACTCTTGGCCTCGGCAGTGCGAATATGATATAATCTGCGAAGGTGCATGGCTTCGGGGACGCAAATATTGCGCGATATACGAGGGTTTGTTGCCTCGGGGGCGCAATAACTGAGTAATTTAAGAGGGTGTGTGCCCTCGGGGACGCGAACATGGTGTAATTTACAATGGGGTTATGGCCTCGGGAGCGCGAATCTTATGTATTTGTATATGTCCCACGCCCCCATGGAAATTCAGAGAACGCGATTCGGGCGTAGTACATTGCAGCCCTTTGGGGCTCCGCCCCCCTCGCGCGGACTTCAACAACGGACAGCAGGAAGCGGGAAGCAGGACTGCAACACTGGAGACCGGGAACTGCAACTGGTGCCGGCGGGAGCAGCATTTCAGGGATCTGCTGGCGGATTTGATCGGTGGTGGGCGCTTTCTGCAGCATCTCGCCTGGGGAACGATGTATCATAAGGTGGTTGTACAGTGCCGTTTTTTATACATGCTCCGCGTGCGGATCATGTATTAAACGTCGGGGAATTTGCATCACAAACAACGATGAGTTCATGCATAAATTTATTCATCTATATTTTTGAACATCCAATGCATTGACAACTGCTCTGTACCATGTGTTCGGTTCGGACGTACGCCTCCAAGGTGAAAGCATCGTGCTCGTATGTCCGTCTGCGTCCCATCGAAGAAGGAAACTTCACAAACAACCTTTCGAAGCTCCGCGCGGATTTGTGGGATCGGCGCTGGACCCCCTTGGTTTGCGGCGCCGCCCCTGGCGCGCCCCGCGCGCCAGGGAGGGGGACCCCGTACCGATCCAAGAAATTCGCGAGGACCTCCGAGAAACTACGCATGTGCCGTTTTTTATTCCTCCAGGGTATAGGCTCATGGGGTACGCAACGATCACCAATCACCCACTAGTCGCCGATAGGGGCTCTATAGCACACCCCACCCAAGAACGCGCGGTTTATATATCGCTGGCCGGTCGGAGATGAATTGTCGATGTCAGCTCGATGTTTCCCGCCCTGAGGCTGTTCCCCATTCACGTTCCCCCTCACGTGGGCTCCTCGAAGCTCCACGGAGTTGGCGGCGACGGTGCCCGAGGCTCAGCAGTCCAGAGCAGCGATTTGGCTGTTGCTCGCCAGTAGTTCGCGAGAGTCTGACGCCAATGGAGAGATCAAGCTCCCATTCGTCGCAGGGCGCGAGCCAAACGGCGTTTGGGCGATTCCGTGGACCGTTGTCTCTTTGACCTCGTTGTGCAGCGAGGGGACATAAAAACATAGCGAACACCGAAAATGTTGTTCGGCTCGCGCCCTGGGATCTGGCCCTGCGAGGTCGGGGAACTTCAGCTGGCCACCTCCCCTCCCCGATCCTGGCCAGGCCCGATCCTCGGCCCAGCTTAGGCCAGCGAGGATCGGTGGGTGGTCGGGAGCCTCAGACGGTGCGGCGACCACACCGCGTGTGGTGAGCCAGAGGCGATTCGTGTGTTCTTCTGGGTTCCCGGAGGTTTTCGAGCCTCGACGTGCGTTGCAGCAGCTGCGCCTCGCCGAGATCGTTCCAGGGATGCCTGGATCGTCCCGAACGGCCGCTGGAGGCCGGAGTTGGGGCTCAGAAACCAAGCATTCGGAGCTCGGCGGGTGTGGTGAGTCAGTGGCGATTCGGGGTCAACGCATGGTTTGGGCATTTGGATCGCTCTCCGAGGACGCCTCGCGCGACTGGGGCCTCCGAGATCCCAGAACCGCGCGGCGACAGATCATGCAGTGAGGTCTTGGGGGATGATGAGGTCGCCGCACACTATGTCACCGAACCGCTTCTCGTTGCGTGACCTCCGACCCCGCACCAAACCTCTGGGTCGATTTTCGGGGTCGCCGCGGCGATCGCGGCGGCGACACATCGGGGCAATGTTTTTGTCAAGGAGTGTATGCCCCTTCTCCTGTACGTGCGGCCCCGTCAGGGCATCATTCTGGGAGAGGCATGGAACTACCAGACCAACGCCTGGGAATTGTGGCCCGAAATGGTCAACCGACTGGAGCGGGCATGCGGTGCCTTTTTTGTCGAAGGATGGAACAGCGCCTGCGACAAGCGAGACGGTAAGGGCAAAGGAAGAGACACGCACAACCCACTCGGCCAGGACAATTCCTGCAAGGACTTCCTCATAGACCTGGTACTGCAGTATCTACGTGGACTGGGATAGCGTCTGGCAGCGCCTGCGCCACAGGGACTCCACGGCCCAAGGCCGCCATGACGACAGCCAAGTCAAAAGGGAAGGCGGCGGCTCGAGGCTCACAGGGGGAAGGCACGCGGCACGCTGATCCGACCTGGCCCGAGACGCTGTGAAGCCGTCATACCTCAGGAGGGACCAGGTGGAGGAGTAGCCAGAGGAGGAGGAGGAGGAGGAGGAGGAGGAGGAGGAGGAGGAGGAGGAGGAGGAGGAGCCTGCCTGCACGGCCCACAGAGACGCCGGCCCCCCAGCCCAACACGACCCTCCCTTGGCAACGGGGCAAGAGGTCGGCCGGCACAGCGCGTTGTCGGCTCCTGGTGCCGTAGCCGCCAGCTGCGGCCCACGGGGATCACCGCACAAGGTCGGCGCCGCTCCTCGGCCCCTGCCTTGGCATCGCTCGGACGTGTGCGTTTTTTTCCGTCGGCGAGGACCATCGAGGAGCATCCTTGATCATGTGGCGAAAAAAAAAAAAACACGCACGGTGTTCTGCACCGCTCAGGCGCGCCTCTCTCCGTCCCCCACGTCCCGCCTCGGCTGCCCTGCAACCTCCTCCTTCTACTCCTCCTCCTCCTCCACCTCCTCTTCCTCCTCCTCCTCCTCCTCCTCCTCTCCTCCTCCTCCTCCTCCTCCTCCTCCTCCTCCCTCTCTCCTCACTCGTCCTCCCCCTCCTCCTCCTCCCCTTCCTCCTCCTCCTCACTCGTCCTCTTCCTCCTCCGCCTCCATCCCTGCTCCTGCTCCGCCCCTCGTCGCCGGCCCCCCGCGCCCGGCGCGCGTCGTCCTGGCGCGCGGGCCCGTTTCCGGGCACCCGCGGCTGGCCTTGTGGTCTCAGTCTTGCCGCCCCGCAGCACAGCCACCACCCAGGCACCGCAGGGACGCCGCAGCCGTGGGCACTTCAGCACGTTCCGCCGTGACGCCGCCGCCGCTGGGCTGCGGGTTACTGCCGCCCCGCCCGCCGGGGGTTACCCGCGGGCGGGGCGCTCCGCTTTCCTCCCCTCCCCCCCTGTCCCCCCCCGCCCGCTTCCTTCCTTCCTCGCGCGCCGCCATGGCGTTGCCGCGCTGCCGCCCCTGGCGTGCAGCTCAGCTCCATCCCCTGTGCTGTACCGCTGCGGTTGCTGAGTTCGGGCGCAGCATCACACAGTCCGTGCACCTGGTGGGCACAGCATTTTGCTGCTGCTAGTCCCTGAACTCCTGTACTGCTTCCCACTTGCTCGACATCGTCACTGGGCCTTGGCAGCGCCCGCGAGTGCGCCTTCGCCCCAGCCCGGCTGCTGCCACGGTCACCGCTGCCACGGCCGGCCGCTCCGGCCCGCATGATGAGGAACTTGTCCACCTCTGAGCGTTCTTTCCTCCCCCTCCCCCCGCGCGGCCGCCCTTGTCCTTGTTCTTTTCTCGCACGCCAGCCAATTCGCCATTCGGTCGGCCCCACATTCCACACGCTGGAGCGGACTGCCTCTGCCTCGCCGCCGATGAAGGAAACGATGCCCCTTTCCCAGCCCCCTCTCCCCCTCTCTGCGACGACGTGGCTCATATAGCAGCACAGAGCTTCCAAGTTACGTCCAACATGGGCAATGCGATGATTTTGGTCAGGGGCCGACTACCACGCAACCAGCGTCGGACCCTCGAGCCAGTGGGGTGGTCACAATTTGCAGGACCCGCCTTCGCCTGGCCGCCCCGGCCCCCCTCGCGTGGCCGTGTCGGGGCGGCCTCGTTCCGAGCAGCCCCGCGCGCGCTGCCCCCGCGCCCGCGCGAGGGCGGCATGGGCGGAGGCAGCGGCTACGTGCAGGCTCGCCGCGGGGGGGGGTGCTTCCACCCTTCGCGGGCCCTGGAAAGGACAGGCAGGGCCGTGTTCGGTACAGCCTCCGTTGTGCAGCTGCTGGTGGTCCCGTCGCAGGGTTTGGTCGTTGTCTGGGTCAGTCATATCGTTGATTGTCTGTTTTGGTTCCGGTTCCGGAGCAGTTGGTTTGCTGCTTTCCGTCGCAGCTTGTTGATTGCCTCCATGTTCAAGACAGGTGTGTCGGACGAGGCTAGGACGAGGATAAATCCGTTTTAGAGCATTCCGGAACGCTTTCAGAGCGATCTAAAACGCTCTGAGAAGGCCGCGGCGCCCGAGACATCCCACAGAACTGCTGGATCTCAGAGATCCTCGATTTTATCCCCACCAGATGTGATCCTCGTCCTGGTTTCGTCTTAGTGTGCCGGTGCACAAATGCCTGCCGTGTCCAAGGCCCACTGTGCTCCCACGCCGTCGCCCCACTGCCGCGCCACATTTCGCCGCCGCCGCCGTGTTTCGAGGGGAAGCCGCGGATGAGTGACGGGTCCCGTTCCACGGAAGAGTCTGCGCGTTCCGTCGCCAAGCGACGTGGCATTGGCGCCACGTTTCGGGTGGTGCCGTCCCCGATCCGTGGATCTGGTGCCGACGCGCCAGGTCCGCGAAATCCTAATCCATGCTAGCCCCGGGCCTTGCCGCGGACGCTGCAGTTGTTTTTTTTCCGCATTTCCACTCACGCGGCCGTCGCCATTTTTCGCCCCGTGCCGACCGACGAGTGACGAGGGCGGGCGGGTTTCAGAGAGGGGCATGGAGTGCCATACAGAGGCTATTGTTGCGTGGGCTTGCCCCTTTCTCCCCCACTGGTCGGTTCGTATTATGGCGCTGTTGTTTGACGTTGTCGCTTGTGGTTTTGATCTGGTATCGTGGTACCGGTCACTAGCCTGAATTGCAGCAGCGGCGGGGGACCACGAGGGGGCCAGCTCCCGCCGAAGAGGGACGACAGTTCTCCCAACCAGGGTCGAAGAAGTGCATGTGCCCATTCGGCGAACCCATGGCCTTGGCATCGCTCGGACGTGAGGATTTATTCCTCGTCGACGACCATCGAGAAGCATCCTACATCATCTGGCAAAGAAAAAACACGAAAACAACACATGCGCAGGGATCGGATGTCGGAGCGATGGCAAGTGGCGGTTTTGGCGTTGTACCTTTACCCAGGTCAGCCCCGGGTGCGCGAGGATCTCCGCGCTTCGCGCAGCGCGGCCGGCGGGCCTTCCCTTCTCCCCGAAAGGGGCGCGCGGCGCGGAAGTTGGGTGGCCGGGGATCTCGTTGTCCGCATGCCCTGACGCTTTTGTTGATCCGAAAGGACAGGAGCCGGATGCCCTGACACACCCCGGTCTCATTCTCCTCCCGACCCCTTCCCCAGGGTCAGTCTTCCGCCCCAGATTTTTAAGTCGGGCCTGTCTCTCTACAGGGGGAAGATTCAGAAATAGTCCAGAAATAGTCTGGGGACTTTCTTTTGGGTATGTTTGGGCATCGTTTGAGCAGTTGTTGGCTCCCGAGGGTCGAGCAGGAGGCTCCGCTGGTGTGATGTCCGGCCTGCCCCTCTCCAGGGGGCATATTCAAGGATGGTCAAAAAATGGTCTGGGGACTGTTTTGTGGACCATGTTTGGGCATTCTCGGGGTATATGTTTGGGGTGTTCTTGATTTTCCGTCCAAAATCGGCCTGTAGGGGGACAGGCCCGACTTAACGTCAGTGACAGGGGTGAGAGCACGGCCACGTGCGCCTTCGTGCCGGCGTTGGGGAGGACGGTCAATGGAGAGGAAGCATGTTGCCAAATAGATTCCGGATGAAACATGTTTCAGACATGTAAAAACATGTTCAGACCATGCTTAGACATTTGTTCCTACATTTCATCGGGGGTGGACAGAACCCCGGAGTGACACGTCGATTAGTGAATTGTCCGTTTTTGGTTCTCGAGAGGGCGCCGCGGCCGTTATTTTCCAGGCTTGCACCCGCCAGGTTTGGGCCTCAGGTCGTTTTCACTAAACCATGTTTTACTAATGGGAGGTCTGTCCATCCCCGATGTTAAACATTCTCTTGCACAGGGTGTCTAGAGCTCCGACCACTTTATTTCGGCACCGCACCCCCCCCCCTTCATCATCATCATCATCATCATCATCATCATCATCATCATCATCATCATCATCGTCATCATCATCATCGTCATCATCATCATCATCATCATCATCATCACCATCATCCTCACCATCATCACCATCATAATCACCACCATCATCATCATCATCATCATCCACATCATCATCATCATCATCATCATCATCATGCGCCCCCTCCGTCTCAGCGCCCTCCCGCGGCTCCAGCGCCCGCCCAGTGCCCCCTCCGCCCCGACCACTTTATTTCGGCACCGCACCCCCCCCCGCTCCGCCCCCTCCCCCGCGCCGTCTCAGCGCCCCCCCGCGGCTCCAGCGCCCGCCCAGTGCCCCCTCCGCCTCGACCACTTTATTTCGGCACCGCACCCCCCCCCCGCTCCGCCCCCTCCCCCGCGCCGTCTCAGCGCCCCCCCGCGGCTCCAGCGCCCGCCCAGTGCCTCCTCCGCCCCGACCACTTCATTTCGGCACCGCATCCCCCCTCCCCGCTCCGCCCCCTCCCCCGCGCCGTCTCAGCGCCCCGCGCGGCTCCAGCGCCCGCCCAGTGCCCCCTCCGCCACGACCATTTTTATTTCGGCAACCGCAACCCCCCTCCCCGCTCCGCCCCTCACCCGCGCCGGCTCAGCGCACCCGCGCCGCGACGGCTCCAGCGCCCGCCCAGTGCCCCCTCCGCCACGACCACTTTATTCCGGCACCGCACCCCCCCTCCCCGCTCCGCCCCCTCACCCGCGCCGTCTCAGCGCACCCGCGCGGCTCCAGCGCCCGCCCAGTGCCCCCTCCGCCCCGACCACTTTATTTCGGCACCGCACCCCCCCTCCCCGCTCCGCCCCCTTCCCCGCGCCGTCTCAGCGCCCCCGCGCGGCTCCAGCGCCCGCCCAGTGCCCCCTCCGCCCCGACCATTTTATTTCGGCACCGCACCCCCCCCCCGCTCCGCCCCCTCCCCCGCGCCGTCTCAGCGCCCCTGCGCGGCTCCAGCGCCCGCCCAGTGCCCCCTCCGCCCCGACCACTTTATTTCGGCACCGCACCCCCCCCCGCTCCGCCCCCTCCCCCGCGCCGTCTCAGCGCCCCCGCGGCTCCAGCGCCCGCCCAGTGCCCCCTCCGCCTCGACCACTTTATTTCGGCACCGCACCCCCCCCCGCTCCGCCCCCTCCCCCGCGCCGTCTCAGCGCCCCCCCGCGGCTCCA